TATATTTTTCCTTCTAGCCTGAAGATGGAGGCGATACGTTCCTCTGAAACGTCGCTTAACCCCACATATACATGGTGCCAAATCCCAGAAGACTGCTTTCTTCAAGAAATATGATGAAAGACGAGAAGGGAAGAAGTATGGGGACACAGAGATAAAATGAGGTGCAAGAACAGATAGAAATGAGAATAGCAGGAGAAAGGTAAGGAAGAGGAGGGAAGAGAAAGGAAAGATGTTAGATGAGAAGACAGTAGGATGATGATGAAGTAGAAGCATAGAAAGAAAATGAAGGAGGTGAGGAGAAAGAAGGTGAATGGAATTAGTAAATGACAGAGACGAATAAAAGGAAGAAGATAAAATAAAAAATATTGTCTCTTTATGATATCTCAATTCCTGCTATGTTCAGAGAAACATCAATGTGTAAGAACAGACATTTCCTGATCACTTGGACCTGAAATGAGCAAACGCAGAACTTTAAGAACATAATTGAGAAACCTTGCAAAAGAAACATCAGAGAAATGCTGAACTTCTCGATTAAATAAAATGTTAATGTTTCAGAATACAGACAGAAATAAAAAAATGATGCGATACACAAGTTTTCGAGCACCGCGTACCTTGTAATGGAATTTTGCATACACTGCCTCATTTTTGTCATTCACCAACTTAAAAGTGTGAGAGCCATATCCATTCATATGGCGATATCCGTCTGGAATTCCTCTATCAGAGAAGAGGAACATCACTTGATGAGTGGATTCAGGTCTCAGGGAGATGAAATCCCAGAACATGTCACAATCCTGCAATATAAATTCATCTTTACATTTATCTCTAGGTCACCTAACCCATATTCACTGTGTTTTCACTGAGACTAAATATTATCCACTGAATAATTATAAATAATTTTGAGTTTGATTTGTTTCATTCTGGTCCCTCACACTAACAATTACAAATATAAATCACTCCGTCCAGTGTGACCTGTAAGTTTTTTACTACATGAAAACTTAATACCCTTACATGTTTCCGTCTCTGTGAATCATCTTCAGAGGGAAAATATCACTACAAATAGGAAACCACCATCACATAAGTTGTTTAGACGTAAAGTACGTACACTTATATGCTACAATACATAGTACACAAAACAGAACATTTCACAAACATAGCAGTTTCCTGGGAATGTAAAGTTTTTAAAAAATTGTATAAAATTTCTTGATGCTAATTAAAAAATGTTTTTTTGGATTGTCAATAATTAAAATTATATTATATTATATATTATATTAATTCTGTAATAATTTTGATTTAATTATTAAAATCAAAGTAAATATATCACTTATGCATTTGTTATTTCAGATTTATTATTCTATATATAAAAAAAGGGTAAAGCTGTCCCTTTAACAGGCCATGAAGGCCCATAGGGGTGTGAGAGGTAGAGGCTCCCACATTTTCTCTAGACAAGTGGTTCACAAATGGTGATAAGGTTGACTGTGGTCAAAATTAGGAAGTGATAACTGGAGGGGATAGCTTTTAACTTCCTGTGGAAATATACACCCTTGCAATGTATGCAGTTACCTTCAGATGAGTGGCAGGGTTTCTCTTCTGGGTGTGTATAAACACAGGAAACAGCAAAGGGTCCCTGATGAAGAAGATGGGTGTGTTGTTACCCACCAGATCCCAGATGCCATCTTCAGTATAAAATTTCACGGCAAAGCCTCGAGGATCTCTGTAATACCATCCGTGATTCATGCAGCATATATTATGTCATACAGAACACAGAAAAGCAGTCAGCTTTCAGATGTAAGGCAGGATTTCTCAGATATATATATGTCTACATGTTTGTTCCCAGTAGTACTCAACAGACTTCATGAAATGTGGTATGAACGGTGTATATCAAAAGTTGTCATGTGAATTTCATTCTGGTCCATAATCATCCAATATAATCCCTTGCTTAGACAGCGTTAAAATGATAATTTATTAACGTACTCAAATTGGTTTGTACATCTCATAAAACAGACCTCATTCTGATCTATAATTTTTACTTCAAACATTTTTTTGTTACACCACATAAAAAAATGAAACACTGTGGTTTTAGTCTGCAAGCGGACTATACTGACCGAGTGACCACTGCTTGTCGGTGAAGTTAGTGCCAACTTTAGCGGATAGAGGTTGTCATGTGGTCAGCACAACGGTTCCCCACAGCCGTTAATTTTGGTCTTCTAGACCGGAGCCGCTATTTCCTCGAAATAGCTCCTCAATTATCCTCATGAGGCTGAGTGGACCCCATTCCAGACCCACTACTTCTCATAAATTCTGAGTGGCTTCCGAGAAAGGTCTATTGAAAAGTTGTACACTGCAGCGGCTTTGATTAGTGATGTACGTGAACTGATATTTGTGAAAATGATTAGACTATGATGAATGTCCATTCAACATACCTGACTGTGTCAGCGGAGCCACTTTCACCTCCGACAGTGGAGAACCTTACGGCAATTGGTGTCTTCTTGCCAATTTTTGAGAAAACACTTGCCTTGGTGTATTTTGTGATGTCATGTGTCACCTCAAAATAGCCAAATGCACCTAACAGACAAAGATACATCCATATTCATCATGAGGAAACATGGAAACATCTTTGTGTAATGTCGAGGTCAAAAATATGTGCAGCTTTACTGCCACTTCATGGCATTGTGTTTAAGAACAACCAATTTATAATGTCTTATTTAAATTGTTGAAGACCAGTAAAATTATCTATCTTCAAAACAGATTTGGCTTGAAGGTATAATGGAGAATTAAAACGGAAGAACTCTCAGAAAATTTATAAACAAATTCCGCACGAACATCAGTACAAAACCCATACGTTGAGAAGCAGACTCTGAACCCTAAAGGCAACTGACTCACCTGCGCCCTTGGCATGGACCACTCTCTCTGGAATACGCTCTCTGTCAAAGTGTGCGAGTTCATCCAGGAACGTAATATCCTGTAGTAATATGGGGCCTCGGGGCCCCGCAGTTAAACTGGCCCCACGGTTATCAACTGGTGCTCCATGACCGGTAACAATATGAGTTTTCTCAGTCTGTAACACAGAAAACATTTGATACACACATAAAATAAGACAATTATACATTTAAATTGTCACAAATTATGTTCATTAAGCACAGGGACAATTCCGTACTTAGCTCACAAACTAAACAGTTTAAAGCAAATGTACAGGGAATCTTGTATCTAATTATGGACCAATAAATAAAGTACGCTTTATGACAATATAGTATGTTCCATCTCATTTAGTCTGTTAACATTTCTGCTTCCTGTCACCATACAACCTTTCTGTTCTCTCGAATGCCCCCAGGCTAACTTGTGCCTCCATGATCTGTTTGAGCACCTTACACCTCCCACAACCATTTGCTGGGTTACAAACACTGTTGCAGATGAAAACAGTTTTTTGGCCTTACAAACACAATGCTGACCTCCGTGTTCTTCAGAAACATCAGTATCATCTCCTGAGGCGTGCTCTCATAAAACAGGGACTTGGTGTCATGAGAGAGTTACAGGACTCCAAGAGTCATGAGACAGCAAAACAAAGTCACGAGTGCCACTGTGCTGGATGGAGCCAGCAGTAATTTGCTTCACCCGATCCGAGATTAGTCGGAGTTGGAGCACCCAGTCAGCTGCATGCACATAGCCTCCCCAGATCCTAGCAACATTGCCTTCTATTGGTCGGCTACTGTTCCTTGGGGGATGGTGTGCAACGGAATACAATCCTCTTGAAACATTAAGGAAACGACTCTTCAAAATCCATTCACCAGAATCAAGTTCATTAACACAGACTGACAGACTGAGACACTGCAGCTGAGAAATAATAAGTTTCAAGTTTCCCTCCTGACCAATGGCAATGAAGCAGAGTTCCGTCATGTATGACATGTATGCCTTTAGGTACAGGGGGGAGGGGGAAAAAAGTAACAGGCCGTGAAAGTCCACGGGATAGTGAGAAGTCAAGATTCACACATCTTCTACACAGTTGGCTCACAGATGGCAGTAAGGCTGTCAGCCTTATGTGCCGGCCACCCTTTACGCCCCAGGAATATTCATGGTACTCATTTCTGTTAGAGGCTGAGTCTACTCCCTTTAGGTAAGTCAGATTATATTTTTGGTTATGTTATTAAAGTTCATCCAAAGCTACAATACATAATAAAACAAGGGAAATAGCCACATTACATGTGTAGAGGAGTCATTTTATTTTTTGGGCAGGCAAAGAATGGACCACAAGTAGTGGGACTTCAAGTCAGCAGTCTGCGCTCCGAGGTTACATCACAGAACTTGAGGGATAGACATTCAGTTCTCTGATGAACTGTTCAGGAAATAAGTACTTGGCAATACACATAAAATATTTTAGTCACAAATTACGTGCAATCTTGGTTGCAGTGCTGAATTTCAGCGGCTAAAAATGGAAATTACTTCACCTGAGACTAAAAAGGCACAAGACATTCTGGGAATACCTAATCATTTGCTTTCCTTTCACTACATATTGTGTATTTGGTAAAACACGAACTGCATAGAAATCACTGGCTCCAACATTACTTTTAGTGTTGCAAACATGTTTACCAAGCAATGGATATGTCTTCTAGCTCCAATATTGTTAAGAAGACAGAGACACACAGACAATAAGGTGATCTCATAAGCTTCCTTTTATTCTTTTTATAATAAGGAAATTGGCTAAAAATAAAGTTGTCCTTGTGCATAATTTATTAAGCACAGGGATGTATGGTGGAGTGGAGGTATTGCTCTACCATTCTCGACATCAGCCATAGATGACAGTGAGTGTCAGTTTCATGTTTAAACAGCTTTACATTCAGGGAAAGAGCCCTCGGTACCCATTGGATAGGATGCTGGATTGGCCCCAAAGCCGGTCTGGATGCTTTGGAGTCGAGAAAAATCTCTTGACCCTGCAAGGAATCTAATCCTGGCCATGCAGTCCCTAGCCTATTGCTATAACGACTCTGCTATTGCGGCTCGCTGTGACTCTGCTGGCCCCCATACCTCTGTGAAGGTCATACAAAGGTTAATTACTTGTGGGACCAAAACCTGTTTATGCTGCTTTGTAAGGTGAATTATAACGACCATCCTGTTTCATAATGGCGACTGCATGTTATACAATATTCAATATTGCAAAGTCATAATACTGTACTTCTTGACATTGGCTGAGGGTGCTGAATTATAAAATACATTATTACAAGATCACACTTCAATTTCCAAACAGAAAGCTACATGTATATCCACAATCACAACTGTAATTACCTATAACAAAACTTAAGAGCCCAATGGACAATAAACTGACATTCATATGCTGTAATCAACATTTGCTTTGTAAAGAAAAGTGTTTAAAATCTGATAAGATACATGGGGGGGAATGGTGTTAATTGTTTAGTTATGTGCATGAAGTGAGCTCAGTATAGAGCAATCAGCTAGAGGATGGATGACCAAGGTTTGATTCCTAGTAGAGGCGAGAGATTGTTCTGTACTCCACAGTTTCCAGATGCGCTCTGGGGTTCACCCAACCTCCTATCCAACAGGCACCAGAGGTTCTTTCCTGGGGGGAGAAGCTGCCAGGGCATGAAGTTGACCATTCATCTTCATCAAGTACAAAAGTTTGACTGGTGGTGCTTTACCTCCTCTCAACAATACCTTTTTGTGCCATGGTGGCTTAATTAATTAAGTACAGGGAAAACTTAGTGACTGTTGTAACAGATAAAATAAAAGTAAACTGCAAAAATGTAACGGGCTTCTTGTTATATTCGTTAATTACAATCCCAAGAAAGTGGTACTTATTTCGCAAAATACTAATAACAATAAATATATCCTATACTTGGACAGTCCTGTAAAACTGTATTACTCTGTCGTAATGCACTGCGCTATTTGCTTATGGAAAATCATTTAACTCCGTAAGAGTTGATGCACGTAATATACATATTTAATTAAAACAGGATTGTTACACAGTCGCACTTGTGAACCGTGTCATGACAAAGCGGTCGGAGCTGAATTAAGATTTTGTCACATAGCAACACACTTCAGGAAATCAAGTGACTATTGCAAGCCCCATAAAGAGGTGCAGTATTGCTGGAAGGGTGTATATTTGAAAGGGATGCAAATATATAGTTACTCTAACGGTAGAGTGTCATTTAATACTCATATATCTCAATTCTATTTTACTTAAACTGGTGGAAAAGCCAAATGAAATTCAACATGTAATAACTTCGTTTGTATCTTCATCTTTCATAACTTTCTTTCCTTTCCTTTACTCTGTGGGAACCCCCACGTACTAACACGCAGCTTCATCTGTCTAACAGACAGCATTCAACTTCTGCTCAAACCAAGTCAATGTCACGTTTTACCTGAAGGTTCATTACCGTGTTCACAAGAGCCCTCCGCTGGTCTCTATCCTAAGCCAGACCAATCCAATCCATACCACCCCATCGTATCTCTCTAAAATCAATTTTAATATTTTCCACCCACCTACATCTTGGTCTTCCCAGTGGTCTCTTTCCTTCTGGCTTTCCCACCAATATCCTATATGCATTCCTCTTCTCCAGGTTTGTGCTATATTCCCTGCCCACCTCATCCTCCTTGACTTAGTCATGATACTGACTGCGGTGTTCCCAACAAACCTCATTCTGTAACTAGCCAAGAAGCCCTAAAGATGCTAATAATAATAATAATAATAATAATAATAATAATAATAATAATAATACTAATATGGTTTGTCCCTGTGCTTAACTAATTATTTTAGAAGCACCACACCATGAAGATGAATGGGGAAGTGGAGGTACAGCTCCATCAACATTGACCTCAGCACTAGATGGAGGTGTGGCCAGCTTCACGCTTCAACCACTTTATCCCCGAGCATTGACCTCCAGTACCAACTGGATGGGAAACTGTGTGTGACACAGAGCTGGTCGGAACTTTGTGGAGAATATCTTGCTCCTGCCAGGAATCGAACCCAGGTCATCAAGCCCATAGCACATTGCTACACTGGCTGAGCCATCCAGGCTCAAATAATAATAATACTAATAACACTAATAATAATAATAATAATAAGGCCGCGCCATAGCTCAAGCGGTTAGTCGCTGGC